AAATTAATAATTGTACAATGTATTCTTCATATTTCAGGATGTCGGCGCGTCTCAGTACCCGCGACTATAAAGTAGAGTGGCGTTTTGCCTGAGCAGGTAACAGGTTGACAGTCTTTCAGATTGGCCGGATGACAAACTTATCTTAGAGTTGCCGTGTTCCCTTTCATATTCCTTCATGTTCCTTGTTTGCCTTTCGGAAATGAGTTTCTTTTCATCGCCAGTGCAGAACTGTTGAAGGAGAGTCCGTCCGTCCACGCTACGAAACCGATATGACAGGGGCTGCTTCAAAAACTGCAGTGCGTAGTGCAAAAGCTTGAAGGAGTTGGGCCATTGCTTATGATATAGGTTCCGCGGAAAATTGAGGGATTGTTCAATCACACTCATTAACTTCATTACCAACAGTTTTCTCCTTTTTAAACCCACATTTTGTCTGCATCATAAGAAATGCCACTTCAGAAGAAGTTACAATGTGACAAACTTCTACAATTTTTCTGCGAACTGTATAGCTGATTTTCCTTTAAAGTGACACGTTTCTTAATATTCGTATTGACACTTCACCAAAGTTTTGTAGGACTTAGCTTGTGATCTTCCAGGTTCAGAATTAATTTCTGAACTAACTGAACCCAGATCACGCCCTATGATTCTTAAGCGGTGTTTTCCCTTAAGGTTTTCATCTCCATGCGTGTTGCATGTCTCGCTCATTTCATCTTTGATTTCAGCAAATCCGTGGAGCAGTATTTAATTCCGTCTCGGCTGGCGAGAACAAAGTATCTGTCACTTTTGACTCAGATTTCCCATAATTTTCTGTTCTTCATTTCAGCAGCCTAAATAATTATTTTAGCCCATCTCTGCACCACGTACCTACAGCATGGTTTTTTGATATTCTGCCCAAGTACGGCGGCATCAAGACACGTCCTTAACACAGACCGATATGTAATAAAGTCTGAAGACGATGTTACACACTCTCCAATTCACTCGCTTTGAATGCAAAAGACGTAAAGTGATTCAAACGTCTGCTTTACAAGCCTCAAATAATAAAATATTTGATATGAAGACTTATTGATAAAAAAAGTCATTTTAGGGTTGGATTTTTTACCGCGATATTGAGTTTTAGCTTCATTCGTCGGAAGAGGACGCTTTCCCTTCTCCCCCTTTGATCGCATCCCATAAATAATCCGCTCCGGAAGGGAGGGAGTGGAGTATCCCTAAGTGCCAACAGCTTGTCCTGATACGGTGGTTCTGAAGACTACGCAGCGGTTATCACAGGACAGTTCTTTAAAGGGTTGTCATCTCACAATCGACAGTACCGTGACTTTAACGAAACTTCCGTATTTATCACAGATTTATTACCGAATACCATTTCAGGGTCTGTCTTAAGAACCGACAGTTTCTTCGACATGATGAGTAGAGGTGAAGGAAGTCTTAACACGATATACATGCCAAGTTATGTTGGTAAATTGGGGAGGGGCCACACACACACCGACATGATACTTGCTGATTGGTTCGCTGGATGACTAGTTCGTTCAGAGGCACGTATTTTTTGACCAGCCATCTTCAACAGCTCATTTCTGCTGATAGAGGGTCTGAGGTTCTCACGACGTTCAAGATATCGATGTTATTATTCTGGGTTGCAACGTCGCTTGGACTCGCAAAGTTACCGAGGAACGTACTGACTCCATCAGTCCTGAAGATGGAGGCAGTATGTTCCTCCTAAACGCTGGTATCTGCCTGCAAGTCCACATGGCGTTACATATCAGAAGACCAACATCGACTGATTTGTGCCGCCTTTCTATTTTTCTTGCACAAGATTATGTAACCCCTATTTTGTGTAAACTGTGTCCGGTTTTGTTTATATAACCGGGTTTGTTACGGCCGTCATGAATACGAAGACAATTCGTTGAACGGTCTCTTTATATAGAAAAAATGATTTGTGGTATCACACAGATCCCACCAGCTGGTCAGACAACAGATTTGTGCATAGAATCTGTCACGAGAAGTGTATGAGACAGATGACAGCTCAGTCAAGCAGCCATCTGGTCAGCCCTTTGAAGCACTTGCTAGCTTACCAAACTCTTTGTCCCTTTCCCATACATCAAATAACATCTGAAACCTACTGCACGTATAATACTTGGTCTTTTCTTCACGTCTTTCTTACGCTTTTCTCATTGGCATTTTTAGTATGGTAGTTTATGGTGTTGTCCACACATGGTACTGAAAAGGCGCTAAATAGCTGCAAGGAGTGAAAACAGCAGAGTGGCTTAGAGCGTCTTGGAGTTTGACAATATTAACGGGGTTAAGTCTTGTGCTGGAAGTATCATGCCCCCCTCAGATGGATAGCAGTTCTTTTAAAAATGAAAAAAAGAACAAAAAATTGAACCGATGCACTGTTTCGTTATGAAATAAAATTGCCTTTGTTGTTGCAGCTAATGTTCCTTTCAGGCACTCAGATTCTCATGTCCAAAATAAAAAACAGAAACGAACTGTTGAGTGCAATGCAGACTCTAGACATGCTCTATATGCAAAGTAAAAGTAAATTTGCCCCTGCTCATCAGTTGAAGAAAAAAAGACTGATCATAAAACTGCGAAAAAGTAGTCCGTGAGTTTATCGTCTCATCCGAAGTCGTGGAAGGTCAGTCGTCCAGTGAGTCGCAGCGTGTGTGGCTTTCCACCCTAGATCCCGACCCTAGATCCTGCTGCCTCCCACAAGTGCGCCGGTCTTAATGAAAAGAACAGACTTGCGCACTGCATGATGCAATGTATCATTGCGCCCAGGGGACTCGCAGTTGTAGTCTCGTTTGTTCGCGGCATCGCGGCTGTGTAACCACTTGCATTAAATGGACGTTTCAGTGAATAGATTCCTCGTTAGCGGGTTCATTGAGGGGCAAGATGATGCTGACATGTGGTTCGTGGTGCCAGATGTTGAGACTTTGGCACAACCTGGAGCTGAGTACAGATCCTAGACGCCCATTTTTTTATAAAGTCGTTGAAATTATATTTGAAGTCCACATAAATAACATTTTTGTAATGACCACCGTCACCACGCCTTTCTGTGATCGCGTTAGAATGCACTTTACCCGTCTTTCAAGAAGACGTATGAGCTGCATCTGTCTGTATGTCTCATTTTAAAACAAAGATTAGGAGGAGTTTGAGTAGGTCAAATAATATTGACCTTGGCATTTCCTTCCAGGACTAAATGACGCCTCTGTAGAGTGTATCAGAGACATCTGGTGATGGAGTGTAGCAACAAAAAATAGAAGAGCATTTCTTTTTCGGAACTCCTATCCGGCTGCTTGTTAGATTTAATTTCCGGCTGCAGGCATCGAGTACAGGCAAAAGACTGTAAAAAGAAAATAAACGGCTCCGAGCAGAAGTTTGTGTCTGCGGTCTCAGTCACACTGTGTCGACTACAAATTAAACGAGGACAAGGGCTGCATTCCTTTGTGTCTGCTGTAACAGTATACATCCCCTTGAAGACTTGGTAATCCTACTTTGTTATGAAAAAGGAAAATGGAGTTCGTTCACCCTGAAGATAATTTTTTGTTTGTTTTCGTTTTTAAGGATATTTTTATCAGACTGGTTCATGTAATATTGACACAAAATACGTGTATTCGGGAGATGCCTAATCGAATAGCGAGAGACAATCCTCAATTAAGATTTTATGGATTTACTCTTTCTCTGCAGGTAAATGCTGGGATAGTGGGCTACCTTACAGTATGGTTGCCTTCTTCCAAATCCTTAACCACTCACCATATTTGAACATCTTCCAGTTTAATTCGATATTCCGTAACTTCATTAGCTGCAATATCATCTTTAATTTAAACGAAATTGAAAATATATACCACACTGGTACACGGATCCGAATTTGATGCTACGAAAAAAGACGATTTTCACATTAAAGAACATTTTTTTCTCATGTTAACAATTAAGCAGGGAAGTCATACCCACACACATGCAGACATGGCGTAAAGGAGCTATAGTCAGTGTTTCGGTAACCATACCATCGGAGTTTCGCTTATTTGGCTTCCTTTTATTCACAGTTCAACAGTTTCCCCCCCACGCATTTCTTTGCTTGGTCACGTCACCGTGAAGTGTGTCGGAGTTAATGTTATCCGCTCGTATCCTGACCCAAAGTTTATTTTCGGTCGCATTTCATTTGATGTGTTCGGAATAGCACACGTGAATGATTGTGGTCAGTTACCAGTCAGTACAGAAAGATTTACAGCGTCTGATTATGTTCAGGTATCAACACATACTCGGAAAGTGATCGAAACATTTTCACACGGCATCGAAACGCAGGCGGCATCCATCATAACGAACAGTGATAACTGCTGCGCTATCACGAATGAAGGCTGTAACATGGAGAGTAATTTATAGCAAAACATCACAGAAATGAGGGTTATTAAGATCGTCTGCTCACGATTTTTCTTTCTGGGGGGGGGGGGGGAGAACGAAACAGAAGATAAAAAAACATTGCAGCGTGAGACCGTGGAGTGAAATGATGCTACAGGCATCTTGACCCCTGTGACCTGACCCTTAAAAGAACCTTTTGCCCTTTACATCTTCGCATTCATCGTAAAATGAGTTAAGTTTGATATTCCCACGCCCCCACTCACTCTACCACCCGCGGAACATATTTTGTTCTTGACTTTGGGAATCCCCGTGATTTCATTTCTGTTTGAGAACGTAAAGTCTTCGTAGCTCCAGTGCTAATTAGGCTTAATTTGCGTGAACTTTGTAGTTATAAGGTGTCGACTGACGATGGTTGTAGCGCCGTGTTGTCTGGTATAAGTTGTGATCATCGTGCCATCATCGCCCTGATGATGGAGGCAGCAAGCATATCTGAAACGTCACCAGACTACACGGTGCTACAACTCGGAAGAACGTGAAATCTCACGGAAGCGTTGTGTTTTCTTTGAGGTACCGACTGGATTTTTTTTGTGTGTGTCAGGGCGGTGTTAAGTGCCGCCGACAGTCGTGATGTCATGTTCACTGTGTTCCAGGGTGGCTGTTCCCGGCTACATGGGTAACCTGAGCGCCACCGTGTCCCATCTGCCGGCGCACCTCAACTCCTGGGAGAGATTTGCTGTTGAGTTCATCCTCACCTTCATTGTCGTCTTCACATACTTCGTCTCCATGGACACCTACCGCAAGTGGCTGG